AGCCGAAAAAGTAAAAGGAAAGTCGTCCCCTGATTATTGCTTGGCTATTTCTGAATAATCCTCCTGTAGAGGGACATGCCCGACTTATACCTATGCTTGCCCCTCGGCAGGGGTGGTCACCCGGTCGAACACGCCGCGCTTCTGGCCGCCTGCCCTGTGGCGGGCGGCTGCCTGATGGGGCATGGCAGAAGCGACGACCTGGGCGAAGAGCCCATGGTGGGAGCAGGAACCGCTGAAGGTCTTCAGCTTTCAGGCGATCGCAAACATGGATCAAGGCGGCGTGGATTAGCGACGGGTCCCGTTTCCATGGGAAACCGCGGATTCCGCCGCCGAGCGAGGCGGCACCGGCCGCATTTTGAGTTGGGCACCTCCCCCGATCCGTGGATTGCGCGCCAAATCTACGGATCGCTAATCCATGTTTGCGCGCCCCCTTCTTTTCTCTCGGTGGTGAACAGGACCAGTCTCAAGACCTCCTCTCCTCCCTCCTCCTCGTCACGGTCCTCCTGTCGTCGTCGTCGTCGTCGTCGTCGTTGTAACGCGGCGGGTGCCGCGGGAAAAGATAATCAGCTGCTCCCTATCGGCGGGTCCCCAGTTCTTCAATCAGGCCGCCCAGAACATGATGAGTTACCCCCTGTTGGGTGGGGGGTCTAAAGACCTCTCAGGGTTACATGAATCCAGGGGCGCCGATCATCTATGTCTTCGGCGAGGCTCCCGGGCGAATACAGTCAACCCGCATAGGAAGGATGGGCAGCCCTCCCAAGGGCACCCTTGCGTCATTGCTCCTTCGGCCCATCCTTAGCGAATTTTGCTGGCCATCCTCGGTCGAAAAGCGCGAACATGGCCCCCCAAGGTCCCTTGCATCCTTACCGCGCATCCTTATGATGCGGGTTGACTGTACGTGTAGTCGGGCGTGCCCCTCTACAGGAGGAGCACTGAGAAATAGTTCAAAAAGAGTATAGGGGGCGATGTTTCTAGCATTGTTTGGTTACTTGTTGAGCATCTCTTGCCAATTGTTCAATTTTTGTTCCTCCAGAATCCGCCTGTAGGGGGACATGCCCGACCTGACCGCACGCGCAGTGCCCGCCCCCATGGGCTGTTCGCCCTGCCGCCGCCGCCGAGCATGCCCCCCGAGGGCAGCGAGCTGTCTGTCGAGGGGCGCCTCGGCCCGTTCGCCTGCTGTAAACCGCCCGTCGAGCAGGGGCGAGGAATGTGCATCACTCGCCAAACCACCCCACCCAACCCGAAGGCTTCAATTTGCCCTCCATTTCCAGTGGGGGGGGGGGTCGGGGAACATTAGGAAAATACGCATGAAACCCGTACCCCCCCCCAACCCGAAATTCCGGTCTTCGGGTTGGGTTAGGGTGGTCTGGTGGGCAGTCAGTCGCCCATTGATCGCCGGTAGGGGTCCGATAGCCCCAACCTGCAGAGGAAAGTGCGGATTCATTATCGGGGGCCTATCGCCGATCTATCGGCGATGTGTCGAGTACTCAGCTCGATGGATCACCCCCTGTGCCAGTCTCCCCTATCGTTGCCCCTCAAATCCCAGGGGCTTTAGGCGGCTTCTGCGGGGCCTGATCTGGACCAGGTGTCAAGCGGTGGCGAAGCGTCCCCGTTTGTCTACAGGCCCACCAGAGAAAATGTTCCAATAACCTTGTTTGAGGTCTGCACGACCTTGTCTTGGAACATTTGTTCTGGCTCGGAAGGTCTTGTGTGAGCACCTCGGATTTGTGTTCTAAGAGCCTTGTTTGGGCTGTCAGAAAATTTGGGGGTTCTACGTACACTTTGTGGCAGGCATATGCGAATGCTGGGACGGTCGGTCGCTGCTCAAAGACGGGCCCGGCAAACCAGCGGCACAAATCATGTGATTCTCGAGGGCCTTCCAGGGGCCATTGGAGCTCCAAACCAGCATGTTTTGTAGCCCTTGGCACCGTGACACCACGTCGCGGAATGGGCGCGCCAGACCGGTCATTGCAAATCATCATCCACACCAACATTTGAGCCTCAGCATCAGTAGGAAAAGGTTTGATGATGGAGCGTTCGTGCCGTCGCGCACTTTCAGGGTTTCCATCAAGCCGGGGATGTCCAAAGCAGGCTGCTGCATGTTCAGACTAGAAGGAAGGAAATGTCCCGGCACGAAGTATAACAGTTGACGCTTGATGAGCCAGCAGCGGCAATACGCAATACGGCCGCCCCGCGGCCATCGAGGCGGGCCAAATTTCCCAGAGGCCTAACTAGCAAAGCCTCCGTTGCGGCGGCGGGGGGCCCATGCCTGTCCATCGACCTGCATGGGCATCCCAGCTTCTGGCGCCAGGGGCGCATGCCCATGCCTGTCCCTCGACAGGGATTGGCACCAATGCTGGCGCAGCTCCAGTTTGACATCGGAAGTGTCGGAGGTCCCCGCGCCCGAATCGGAGAGCTGGCCGTCTCACATCTGTTTTGGCTGGCCAGAGGCTCCAGTGCCGAGCAGGGCCCTCTTCGCGAGGGCGGCTTGCCCATGCCTGTTCATCGACAGGTTGCAGGAGGAGCGGATGCAGAGGCCTGTCCATCGACAGGAGTGGGTATCCAAGCCAATGTGGCGCCCACGGAACACCGTCAACGGCGGAGCTACCGCGCTGGCAACGGCAATACGGCCGTCTCATGGCCATTGAGGCGGTCCAAGTTTCCCGGGTGCGTGGCAAAACGCTTCACTGCAAGGGCGGGATGCCCATGCCTGCCTTCTGCAGCAAATCGTGGGAGCCTGGTATACCATCTTAATTCTGACTTGAGCGTCGACTAGCGTATGGGATTCGATGAGGTAACGTCGGTCAGCGTCGATCAGCGTCGATTTAGCGTCGTTCAGCGTCGATTCGCAAGAGCCGACAAGATGGTATGGAAAGCTCCCATGAGTTGCCACCGAACCTGCCCATCGGCAGGAATGGACATCGTAGCTACAGTTGCGACGTGCGGGCCCCAGTGTCTGCCCCTCGCCAGGGAGTGGCACCCACGCAAACGAGATGCCCTTTTTGACATCTTACATGTCGAAGGTTGCCGCGCCAGAAACGGCGATACACATTTTCGCCATAACATGTGTGTATATATACACACACTGACACCCTCCGATGGATAATTCCTGGGCCTCAGGGGAGGGTGGCGATGTAAAAGTCACCACTGGGAGCCAGCGATGTTATGCACCGCCGCCCTCCCTCAAGGTGTATTCAACATTCGTCGGAGGGCGACGGTGTATACATATATACACACACCGTCGTGGCGTAGTGTTGCCGTTTCACGGATGTTTCTAGCTGGCTAGCGGTCCAGGGTTCCCAGCAGTGCCCCTCCATCCAGGCTTCCACCTCCAAGCGTCCACCTCCAGCTTTCGACTTAGGGGTATGATCTCCAGCTTCACGGGCAATCAAGACATCTGATCAGGCCTCGCTTTCTGATTCTCCAGCGCTCCGGCGCCGCACCCGCAGCACCCTAGACGTTGCTCATGTGCGGGCGTGCTTCCGTGCTTCCGTGGTTCCCTCTCTGCGAGGGCACGATGCGGAGGCCTCTCCATCAGCACGGACGGCTCTCACAGTTCTAGGCACGAGGAGCGGCTACCCATGCACGTCCATCGACAGGAAGGGGCAGCCAAGCCAACGCGGTGCCTACCCAACGCCCTCAACGGCGAGACTGCCGCGCCCGCAACGGCCATCTAAGCGAAACGAAGAACGACATGAACATAAAGACTCAGAGGTCCGCGCGGATTTCTCGGATCGGCGCTGGAACCCCCTGGCGGCGCCTCCAGCGCCGCCCCTGGAGCGCTCCGCGCGCCAGAAAGAGGGGCCCAGCGTGGATCCGAAGAATCCACCTCCGAGTTGTTATGCATGCTTGTATCATTATTCGTTCCCTACATATGACCGTCTCGCGGCCCCTCAGGTCGGCCAAAGCTCCTTGCGCCCACTGGATTGCCTGGGTTGGGTGCCTATGCCAGTCCATCAATAGGGACGGGCATACGATCTCAGGCCACTGTCGCCCTGCCATCCACTCGTCAAGGAACTACGCATCGGGCGGGAAGTTGTTCGTGCTCATAAAACCCTGAGTGGCGGCCCCGTGCGTCCTTTTTGAACCATGCTCTTAACCAGTATCGAGTGGCGTCGGCACGGGGGAAAGGGGAGAGGCGAGGGACAAGCGAATCGCGCTCACGCCGCATCTAACACTCAACATGTGCCAAGTATACTTTGTCATGGTGTCGTTTTTTTTCTACCCGCCGACGGGTGTCATAGCGGATTCGGCCCTCCAAAGAGGACACCATCATGTCATGCGCACTCGTAAAAACAGAGCTGCGTACATGGGAGGAAGAGTTGGTGGGATGAGCAAGAAGACGAAAGAGAAAGTGGAGCAAAGAGAGAAAACGAGGACGCGGACGAACAGCAGGAGCAGGAATTGGAATGGAAGGAGCGGGAGGGGCAGGAGGACCAGGGGAAGGCGGAGGAGGGGAAAGAAGGGGGGCGACAACGATGTAATAATCGGATCCAGAAAAGTGGCCCGCGCTGGGGCGAGAGTGTCATTCTGAACGATGGGAGCGAAGCGCCGATCCGAACATGAGGCCCACGCTGCAGCCGGACACACGGGAACATCAGTTTGAAACACCGAAAACACTCGGATTTACAAAACAACGCACAGAGCATCGGCGTTAGACATCTTGTTTGTCAACATGATCAACGGAGAGGGCCGCTTCCGGGCAGCGTCGGAGGAGCGATCGTACACGCAAGCCGCATAGAAAGGATGAGTTTCCCTTACAGTCTGTGTAGCCCAGAATCGTTCGATATGGAACGGTTTTGACGTTTCGGAAACGGCCGATCGTTCAAGGCTGAACGATCCCCGCGGTGTCAGAAACCAACGCCGAAGTCGGCACGACACGAACCTGAAGCATTTCCCAGGAGGAGCAAGTGGAGGAGGAGGAGGAGGAGGAGGAGGAGGAGAAGGGAAAAGGAGGAGGAGGAAGGGGGAGGAACGGGTACATATCCGCCCGCGCAGAGGCTCTCGCTGGACGACGTGCGGGTGGAGGGCGGGGCCAGCCTGGAACTCAATTCGACGCACCTGGGGCTCTTCACCGTGGACCAGGAGCTCCCCCCTCTTCCCCCCGCCTCCGAGCTTGGCGAAGAAGTCCGCCCAAGCATTACCCATGAACCTCCAAATTTCGCCAGCACGCGTTCCTTGCTCAATTATCCTCTCCACACAGAGGTGCGCAGGAGTCCAGAGGAACTCGGGGCGCATAGCATGGCGAGCACATGCACGACATATGCTGCGCCAAATCGATGCGTGCGGGGCAAGGCCATGCTCAAGGTTGGGATCCCAACCCTGCCCCTCGCGAGCAAACGAAAGGTGATCACTAATTATGACGGGAGGCTGGTCTCCAGCAGGCCCCAGGGAAATTGCATCGAGCCCAGCCCACTTTTCTGACCGAAGGACCGATTGGAAGCGCCCTGGGAGCCCGCCGAACTTGGCTCTCAAGGGCCAGCCGTCCTCGGAGATCTCGACAGCGCTCCAGCCACATCGAGTGGCTTCGGGCACCGCACTGTGCAGCCCCGACCCGTCAGTGAACCTATATCTTCCCCAGGGACCGTCTGCGAGACCCCAGGTGAGCACCGGCGGGCGAGCTCAGGGAGAGGCCAATTGGATGGGGAACGAAGGAAGCCCGTAGAGGAGAGGAACTCGATCCCAATCAGGAGGACCGATGTTGACATCGTACCCTTCTCTCCCGCAAGGCCTGCCTACGCGCCCAAACATCTTCCAGAAAACCCATGCTGCCCGCCTCCTCCTTCCCAGACACGAAGGCACACGAGCAATCATAGAGTTGGTGGCCCAATGTGCTGTGAGGGGCTTGGCAGAAAGTGCAAGCAGCAGATGGGACCAGCCCAGCCGCATGCTTGCGAGCTGGTGGCCACAACCCTCCAGACCAGAGCGCACGGAGCGACCCCTGCCGGCCACCCGCGGGGAGGGCCAGAATCGGGAGGCGCATCGCTCGACCCCAACAGTACTCTGAGCCCGTCGCTTCTGGCCAGTGGAAAGGGACCCTGCGCCAGAGCCAACGCTCCACACCATCGCGCAACAAGTTGCGGACCTCGCACGGCGAATACACATACAGCGAGATATGGTCTCCGAGGTCGGATGTGAGAAGGTGGGGAGCGGCCATGTCCCACCCGACCCTGCGAAGGGAGAGAAGAACGGCAGACATCGGCCCAAAGCATTGCCTCCAGGTCTCCTGGGCTCCGAGCTTACCCCGGATTGTGCTCCAAGCCCTCCTCAACATATTAGGGGAAGCCTACCATCCCAGAGCTAACACGCATACCTGGCTACAAGGGGGCATGTGGCATCAAGAGTGGGATCATACAGCCTATCCTTCTGCGTGCACGTGTAAACTGTGAGGGAGGCCAGGCCACGCCTCGCGCCTACCAGTTCCCCTGCAAAAGAACGGAGTTTCATCGAGTTTCATCAGAGTGGTGCCAGTGAGGCCTACCACACCATCCCCATGACTACCCGACGGCAAAACCCCCGTGCGCCACAGAACCCAGACCTTCAGACCCCCAGCCCTCCTAATGGCGCGAAGACGGCCCCGCCTCCCAAGCACGGCCCCCAACCTCTTCCTCTCAAGGGCTCTGTGGGCGGTGCCTCCAGCAAAGGTGTCGTGGCCAAGATTCCGCGCCGTCCGAAACGCCTGGAGCTTCAGTCTGGCCGCTGTCAACTTCACAGCACGAGCTGCTCCCGTCGAGGACGCAAGACAACTGGCCTTGGAGGCCTGCAACAGAAACCCTAGCTGGCGGGTGTAGCCGGCGAAATCCGTGACAGCATTAAAAACAACCCCGGCATATTTAGCCAGGATTCCTATCCACTGAAACGAAACATCATCCATGAGGCCTCGGGGCACCACACATTCGGATTCCCTCTTGAGCCTCTGGAGAGGCCGAACGAGGAGGACCTGCATGAGAGTGGTGGCGTGGGAGCAGCCCGCCAAAATTCCCTGGAAAGTCGTGTAGGAACGGCTCAGGGAATTGAAACCTTTTGATGCGCCGAGGCTGTTGATAGTTACACACCAGCATCCACGCTAAACGCACAGGAAATCCTACGGCAACAGCCTCGGCCATCACAGCACTAAGCAAGACAAGCTCATAACATTTAATCATGCCGATCAGAACTGTCACTCAATGCTGGCCAGTGTTCCGAGCGACCTCAGCCTCCAAATTGTGAGCGAAAGCACAATCGAGACTGGAACGCCCTGGACCGGAGCCCCACAGGAGCTCACTACGATGCCCCCTTTCCCACTCCACCGAAACAGGCCTCCGAACCCTCCCCCACACCCTTATTAAAGTATGCATGAGGACAATCAGCCTGTGTTCGCCAGGCTTGTCCGGCTTCGGCAGCCTCACCATCTCCGTAGCCACCCGCCCTTAGGGCCAGCAGCAGAGTTTTTCGCACAACATGAAGAGGAGCGCCACCGTCTGCAGTGCCTGGTCGCTCAGGTGCCACAGACTGCACGGGGACTTGCGCCCAGGACCGGGGTCCCCCCATTGCCCCCCGTATCAAGTGCACCCGCAAGGAGCCCCGAGAGGCCCGCACTCTTCCCATGTTAGCCCCGCCCCCAGTCGACGAGGGGTCCCAGTGGCTTCCCCCCTGAATGCCCACCAGGGCCATCATGTATATGCTCCACATGTGTTCTGGGCCTCGTGGGGTAGCAGATAATCAAGATCAACTGGAGGCTCTCACAAGATCCCACCCGTTCAATCTCCATGGTCAATGCATCGACATCGTCTTTGATGCGTCTCTTGGGGACCTACAGTCTGACCTAGGCATCTCTCTCTGGTTAGAGATGCTTCGCTCAGGACGGATAGCTGAGGTCATCATGGGCTCTCCCTAGCAAGAGCTGGACCAATCCGAGAAACAGGCCAAAGCGCTCGCAGGGTCATCTATGGGGACTTGGACACTTGAGTGACAGAGAAAACAAGAAGGTCTCTGCGGCCAATCAGCTCTTTCGCACGGCTCTTACCTTTCTGCATGAAGCTTGGATTCACCAAGTACCTGCCATCCTGGTGCACCCTGCCCAAAGTGATTGGATTCCTGCCCCCCCCAGCGCATGGGCGTTTCAAGAAGTACGAGCGCTCTCAGCACAGCCGCATGTGAGCCTGCGCGCTCTTCATTTACGCAGATGTGGTGCCAGTGCTTGCCGTCCTACCTCTTTGTTGGCCGTCCACACCCCGTCCCTGTTCCCACGGCCCGACTCGATGCAGGACGGACCCTTTTGCAACCATCTCCAGGGACATGCGGCCTTGGGCGGCCTCACTTCAGTTCACCCGTTGGGCCCTGCTAGGCCTCATTTGTTACCCTCAGGTCTTTGTGACCTCCTTGCGTCCACCATGTTTCAGGCTTGGCAACGTTGGCCGATCCTTGGCGGCCGATGCGACCAGTTACCCACGGGCCAACCTTCCCGAGGGCCTCGTTGTTGGACCCTTTCCAGGGAGAAGAAGTTCAGGGAGGTTGTTGACCTTGGTTTTCCAGGATCTGATTGGTCATTACCGTTTGGGCTACGCAAATGTTGCACCCCTCAGGACCCTTATGTGTACACAGTTGCAGGGTCAGAGTGTGCAGTGCACCGGCGGAGGTTATGCCCAGCTGTGCTGACCTATGAGTGTCCCCGTTCCTTCCACTCACCTTCGACTGCTGCTCAAGTTAGGTGTCTTTTATAGGGGGAAGGGCCTGTGCGGGAAGGTGTGCCGTGCTCACGAACAACGCCAGAGTCCGTTCTCTTTCAAAACCAGTACCGTTCAGGTGCTGCGGCCCAGCCGCGGCTCGTCTTTGACACTACCCTACACACGGACGAAGGTATCTTCTTTTCCTTCCCCCTGTTCCAAGGCTTGATTCCCTTTTCGTGCGCCTGTGGCAGTAGTCCGTCGTGGAGACCTAGGCAGCTACCAGTGCTGCTTGCTGCTCTCTCCCTTTTGTTCTATTCCTTTTCTCTGCATCCCACCCCGTATCGGCATCAACCATCTTCGCCTGACCATGAATGAATGAATGAATGAATGAATGAATGAATGAATGAATGAATGAGGAGGAGGAGGACGAAGAAGAGGAGGAGGAGGAGGAGGAGGGAGAGAAGGAGGAGGAGGAGGAGGAGGAGGAGGAGGGAGACGAGGAGTATGAGGAGGGAAAGGAGGAGGAGGAGGAGCAAGAGGCCTCTGTCTTGCCCCCCCCCCCAGCTGCCGGAGCTCGGCTGCTCCGCCCCCGCGCTGCGCTCGGCGGTGCTCCAGGGGCTGGCGCTGACGGTGGTGCCCTCGCGGTTGACGGTGCTGCCTCGGGGCGCGGCGTCGCTGGAGATGGATATCGACCACATGGTCAACGAGGTCGCCGCTGCGCCTCCCTGCATCCTGAAGTCGGTCGTTTCCCTCTACAGGAATAGTATTCAGAAATAGTCAACGAATAACCTGGGGACCATTGTCTTACTATTGTTGACTAGGCTTGAGTATTTTTGAACAGCGATTATTTCTCTTCCAAAACCCCCTTCAGGAGGACATGCCCGACATAACTCCATCTTGCTTCCTCCCCAGATAGGGGAACGAACCATGATATCGACCCTGTGAACAACGAGTTCGTCGCGTCGCCTCCCTCCATCCTGCACTCCCCAGATAGGGTTAAGTCGGGCGTGTCCCTCTACAGAGGGAGTATTCCCAACTAGTAAAACATAGTCGGGACGACGTTTTGATATTTTTGGATGTTTTGGGGCTCTTGGGTGTGTGTGTGTGTGTGTGTGTTTATTTCTTCGCCTGAAAATTCGCCTGTAGGGGGACATGCCCGACCTAAATATAAGGGAGCGAACAATGACATACCTTTGAAAAGCTCGAGAACCCGCGCGGATTTCTCGAATCCGCGCGGACCTCCGAGTTGTTGCGTTTATGCCATTATTCGGTTCCTTACCGGAAGAGTAAAATCTGCGTCGCCGGAACACTCATACAACATGTGTCAGTCTCCGCCCCAGGGGCGATTCGCGCACCGAAAGGAATATTATAGTATATGCGTCGTGGCGGGCGCTTTCTGGCCACACCGCTCGGGAAACGATATGCTACACGATGGATGTACTATATGCTCGGGTCGGACGCGCGCCTCCGAGTAAAGTGCTACTATGTCTTCGTGCGTCTCATCAGAAGTACCGATGCCGCTAACCTTTGCCCGTTGGCCCCTTTTTCGGCCTCTTGGAATCCATGCCTCTTAGATGGGGTCGGAGTCGATGGGGTCGGAGGGTCGCGCCGCTTCGCCGATGCATCGGCGATGCGGCTCGATGTGGAGCCCGATGTTCTTCACACTGGAGTCGCCTAAGCATCGCCAGTGTCGCCGATGCATGTGTACGATGGTGCAGACCTGGCCGGTGGCAGCGCCTGCGTAGCTGTACTGCGCGATGCCTTTAAGGCGCGCGCGTTTCTGGGGGCATCCCGACTCATAGTGCGGGCGCCGTCCCCCAGGGGGTGGACATATGCGGATTGGCTTTCTGGTTCGATCATCCCTCTCCCAGGTTATCCGCCGAGTTGGCTTTGTCCTCTGGGCCAGGCGACCGTCATCGACAGTCTCGGGAGGAAACTAAATGTGCCAAGTTGCATATGTGGGCAGTTCCCCGTCATGCGTCGATGGACACACCCACATCGGTCAACGTTTTTTTTTGCGCGGAGGAGATATTCCGATGACGCCCATTTTGTCAAGGTTCTTATGCTTATTCTCGATTCATCCATTGTCCGTTTGCTTCCTCCCTTCCCTTCCCTTCTGCCTTGTGCGGCACGCCGCGCGTGCCGAACAAGCCGCCGCTGGACGTCGTGACGCATCTGAGCGCGCGTGCATTGCTTGCGGGAATTTACAGTATGTGATCGCGTTGCGGAGCTCGGGCGCCCTGGCAGAGTTTCATGGTGAACGGGCCCAGACTGGCCAGTTAGATGCTGTTTTCGGCTTACGATATCGCCTTCACAGGCGGCGGACCTTGCGCGGGACGCATGCGTCACCTCTCCCAGGCTCGAAAGGAGACTCGAGAGTCAGAGATGCTGAAAATGTACGGGTTGCGGACTTCCTTGCCCATTTGGACCGCGTGCAAGTCGCGCGGTGCACGTCGCGTCAGGCAAGCAGGGACCGATTTCTGCGCGCGCAGACGATTCCATGACTTAGAGCAGGTGCCTTGTTAGGATGCTGCGAACCCATGACTTCACACTTTGCCATCATCTACGCTCTTATTTGTCAAGAGGTAGTCCCGAAGCCGGCGGGGGCCATGATCACCCTCATGATGTGATTGGCGGGGTGAGATCGCATCTGTCGCTGTCAGGTTACTCTTCTCACGCATTTTCTCGTTGCGGGCGCGCGGGCGCGGGCGTCTCCCATCGGAGGGGGGTCTTCCTCCCCCCTTCTTCCTCCTTCGTCCGGTCCCGCGGCCTCCGGGGGTCGCGGGGGCCTCTTCCCCGCGTCTCCCTGGAGTCGGGCCTGGCCCATCCTTCCATTATCTTCTTCTTCCCCCGTCAGGCAGGGCACCTCAAGCAGGAGGGCCGCAGCCCTGCAGAAACCTCTTGCAGGGGGTGGCGGCCCTGCAGGAACCTTCAGCAGGGGGACCGCGGCCCTGCGAACTGGCGCCTCCATGACAAGAGCATGGGCGCGGCGCGCTCGCGGTGGTCAGCGTTCGACCGACGCGAGGGCTCGCATATTTCGGGGTGCGTGCCTGTTGATCGCGAGGTCCATTCGTCCTTCCTTTTTCTCCCTCCTTCTTTCTCCATCCCCCCCCGCGTCGTCTCGCGCCAGGGGGGCGGCGGCGCTTTCGGCGCCCCCTCCCCCGCTCGGGGCAGCTGAGCCCTGAAGGCCCCAGTTGTCGAGCTCGCTGCGTCTACGTCGTTCCCGCTAATCGGCCCGCGTTTGCGGCGTATGTCAGTTCTCCATAGGAACGCGCCCCTCGGGTCGAACGGGGAAAGTTCCGCCCCCCCCCACGGGCGCGCGTCGACACGTTCCTTTTCTCATGAATTTTCAAGTGTTTGCCATCCGTCTCGGTCGTTGTCGTCAGGTGCGTATCTTGTTAATCGATCGCACTAGTTGGCACCAGCGCTCCTCCTTCTCGCAGGTGTGCGTCTTGGCGTTTTTCCACGACCGCCGTTTTACGATTGTTTTCACGGTGATGTTGTTTCTTTCTTTCGCCCCTGCCAGGCCCTGTCGGCGCCCCGCCTGCGGGCGCCCTCTGGGCAGTTGAGCCTTCAGGGCGCCTGTCGTCGAGCTCCCATCTTTTGCCTGCTTCCGACGCGCGTGTCCGCGCGTCGCAACGGGGAGGGCGCGCGCGCGATGGCGCGGGCCTGGCCGGCGGCAGCGCCCGCGCAGTTTTACCTCTCATTTCGCTGCGCGCTGCCCGCGAGTAAGGCGCGCGCGTTTCCGGGGGGCATCCCGACTCGTGGCGCGGGCGTTGTCCCCCAGGGGGTGGGCGCGTGCAGATTGGCTCTATGATGCGATCATCGCTCTCTCAATGCATCGCCGATGCA